GAGTTTGCTCGAAATTTCGAACGTTTGAAGTCAATCGTCGATGTCACGTATTTTACGGATATATTAAATCGTTTCAGAGACCTGTTTACTAAATAATGATAAATGAAACTTAGAAAATTTGTAAGAACAAACTGGGCCCAAATTGCGCAAATTTGCAATAAGTTTACGCTGCTAGTGTCTAGTTCGGAAGGAGTTCTACTCGTGATTTTATCGCCTTCAATGACGTTCTATTTTCGAACTCGTTGAAACCGGAAATTACGCAAGTACTTTCGAACTTCAAACACAAATTTGATTATCGTGTGTTAGTTTCTGTTATTTCCAATATTGAATTATTTATGACATTAATATTTCACTCACTAAACAATATTTCACTAAAATACGCGATTAAAAAGCAACTTAAATTGAAAAAAGAAGTATCAAGTTCCGTGTATAAACACTAGTGTGAAGAGGCGGCGGAGCGCTATTTTAGCCAAAATCGGCTAGTAAGGCGTCATATGACACAGCTCTGTGCTGGAACAGCGCTTCCTGTGACGACTAAACGCAATGACACGGTATGACCATATGACGCATGCGCAGGTGACGACTCCCGCACTTTAAGTGTAACTAGCGCGTATATGTCGTAATACAATGTAGTAATAATATTAGTAATGTAATAATTTACTCGGCAGTGGTTATATAGGCTGCACTATTTTTTTTTACACAATGGCATGCAGGCAGCATCATTTTTGTTCAAACAACAAATACTCATTCAAGTAGGGAATAGTGTGTACAGATGCTCGCGATAACTTGGTGAGTTATATGAACAGTTAATGGCGAACCGTGGCGGCATCTGCAATGCAACTTCCGGTATTTTGTACATTAACCCCAGCATACCTGACTGCAAGGCATGCTGGGATTTCCTTGTAGGAATATTTAAAGTACTAGAACTTTTGGCTGTCGTCACTAAATTTAGAGCGGACTAAACTGGACATTCAGAAAGTTAGGTTAGTCTGACGGGCTATTCAACGTTTTGTTAATGACGTTCGATGCGTCTTTGGGATTACATTACAAAAAGTGAGTACATGTATATTGTTTTGTTTTTCAATTTTCGCCATTTTTGAAAGTATGTGATGCGAGTTCAGATGAACAAATGTTAACAAAACTAGTTCCAACATTAAACAAATCCGAATTTAGGTAATAAACTTTTATTAAATTCCAAATTACACGCATTCTGTTCAAATGGATGCCCCGCCGAAATGAGGCGGTAAAATTTGTTGAGTCAGATTTTACAAATGAGTTAAAACCAATATATTTATCTGTGTAGTCCAGAGGATTGACGCATTCCCCTATAGGTATCTTTAAGTCAATACATGTAAAAAAACACGTTTTCTCAAAGACGTCGATTAAAACTTTGCGATATTTATTATTTCAATATCATAGTCCTGTTTTCGTGCGAGTTGTAGGTAGAAATCGAAAGAGACACCGATAATTAATTTGAACAATACATTGTTCCGGGTGTTATCGGGGAACCGTTAAGCGGTTAAATTCGTGGAATCGAACAATTAAATCTTTATCGTCCGCTTCAATCGCCATGAATCATTGTTCAACATGTCCTACATTTGTATGGTTCTCTGGCATATTATATTCCGTAAATTATTTTGCAACTGGACCGAATTGATAATACACATTATTCTTCAAAGCATACTGGTACAGAAACAGGAACTGTGTTTTCTAATATGAATCAAGTAACACTGTTTGTTTGTAGAATGTCTCATTGTTGCTAACCATACTTACTAACATGTATCAACACGCCAATCTTCATATATACCGGGTATATTACTTCTATGTTTGCAAAAGTCTGGTTGGCAGTTTTGTGTATACTTACAATCGCTGTATGACCCCGAAACGCCGTGTTTGCATCGATATACAGCCAGTGGTCCCAATTACCGTATTACGTCAATGCGCTGGGCTGCCGGATTACACGTTTATACGGCTAAGTGTGATACTCCTCAAAAGCTGACTGTGAACACAACCACGGGATCAATCGAGCAGCAGATAAAACATCACAGGGCACTCCACAACACCCGCCATTGCTACTTCGCGATGAATTAAAAGAATACTCGAGATCGGATAAAAACTCTCAGATTCTACAACTATATTTTACTGAGACTCCCTATAGCGGTAGTACATGGATACAAGTGGCCAAGAATATTTCGTGAATTGATTTTTTTTAGGTCAAAAGGACATGTATTTAACCATCAACAGTGGGGTAAAATAAAACTCGCAAATAAAGCAGCTGTTCATCAGAGGCGGGGCGCACACCCTCACACCCACCCACAACCACTCCCGGTGCCGCCGCCAATGTTCATGTGGGCGCGATCAGGAGGTGAAAATACGCTATGAATTTTGGAATTTCCATTGCGGTTATTTTTTCTCTTGACGAATACAGTGTGATGTTATAGAAGAAGGGGATTTTTGTTCGGCGGGATGGGCAGACATTCGTTTGTCATTTGAATATAACCATGCTGTTGCTCACAAACCCAAAGCACATGTTAGGGTAGTGAGAATGAAACTGCCATGATAGGCTACCTGCTAAAATGGACAACAGCTTCAAATGACTAAGACGGAAAATCACTTATTGGACAGTTCAGGCCCATAATCCGATCAGACATCGTGGTGTAAATGACTCGGTGCCAATCTTCGTCATAATCAGGTATTTTCGGATAATCTCAGCCCAAAATATGGAATGAATTCGTTTCTTTTGAGTCAGTGAACGAATAGTGGCTCAGAGTATTTTTATCGTTCGCAAGGAATACTTGTTAATTCACGCTTCTGTAGTCCAGACCCTTCTTAATAGTTCATGCGTGGCTCGAACATGACGAAATAGAGACGAGTTTCTGCAGATTTTTCTCGAGCTACCACGTGTGGTGAAATGGGCCATTTTTTCTCGCACACATCCGATGTCTGTCTGTTCAACTGGCAGATGCGAGTAGGTCATGTATATTAATTATGTATTACATCATTGCTATTGGCTGTTGACTGAGGTGATTAGATCACGCCATATACACGTGTCTGCCAATGTGAAGACGCCCAGACAGTTTTTGCATTTATTCCCGTGTCTAAGGTCTATGGTCTTAATAACGGTATTATTGAACATAATTAGGTAATAGGTAGAAATAGTGTGATGTTTTGTATCACCCCAAGTATCGTGTGCCTATGTAATTCATGTGTATTTTTTGTTCTCAAAAGGAATTTAAAAATCGTTAGAAATATATTTGCTCGTTATTATCGAGTAAATTACATAGGCCGTTAAAGGGAATGATGCCCCCTGAGACAGCTCTACATTTAACCAAGGGTTAAAAACGCTCTTTAGCGCCGTCCCACCAAGCACCATTAATCGCTCAAATACGCTTGTTGAATACTTGTTCACACTGGACTATCGAAGAATTATTCAATTTACAATTATAGATCTTTCAGATTCACATGAATCACGTTTTATAGAGAAGATATATCGAACATAAGACAATTCCTGTATCTCTGCGTTGATACATTCAACAATCATTGACTGAGTACTAAATGTATACACATCTCCAGTGAATAATAGTATTATCTCTGATCACAGTCCCTCTATGATAGAGGGACTGTGCTCTGATGCAGACGAGAGTCTTATTGCCATATTGATAAGTTATGGGGCAGTGATCGGTGTTCGGTTTTTCGTTGGATCAAAATTCAGCGATTGGACATTAATCATTTCTACAGGTGGCTTTCTTCGGTATATATTCTCAGATGGACAGTGGCGATTACTGTAAACAATACGTGGGAATATACCGGTTTACGTAACCGCCTGGCACTCGTGTTTTTCCCCCACTTAGTCCCCACTTTGCCGCGTAAACGCATGTCTTACCAGAGGCCTCATAATGGGTGAATTGGAGCCCGACGAGACATCGTAGATTCCGGAAGACTATATTTTGTAATTTCAGTGAAATCTACCCACTATGACAAAGTACACGCTAAATTTTTAGCAAATAACACAAAAGTTCTGCGTTATTGGCGTGGTAGGGGAGTGGCGATGTGCCTCACCATGTCTGTGCGGCCGATGCAATAACCACCGGGCAATACCGTGCGATACAGCTATGGGGATCTGTTTTTCTTAAACACGAATTTGTAATAATAATCCGAATTTTAAACATACATGACAAACAATCGGAATTTTCCTGTTGGCTATATTCATACATGGACGGAGCTGCCGTCACAGACTACCACCACTGAATTCACAAATATAACAGTACAACAATAAAATCACTTACTGTACAATCCAATTTTGTCATTCGGAGAATCTAAGTATATAAGTCGTAATCAGACATTTTCGGACCGCCGCCGCCAAAAGTTTAGGACGATTTCGTTATCCGCGCTTTTGAAGACCGGGGTTACATAGTGAACAGATGATTAGACGTTGCACACCACGTAGAGGGCTGTACAGGCCAAAAGCGACCATTCTCCAAAAAAATGTATTAAGTTGTTGACAACAATGCCTTCGAGGTTTGGTGGTAGACGTGTCGGCTTCGATCAAACGAAAACCCCAGTTTCTTCCACGAAATATATATTTCGCGAGCTTAGACATTGCCACGTGTAACAATCGTCTTTGCCCCAAGATGGATTGTCATTGAGTCACCCACCTATAGAGGCAAATGAGTGTGGCCAATTGAAAGGTAGAACATTTTATACCCAGACCATTGGTTGAGGGCGGACGACCGTGTTGTTCATATACATTTCCCGCCAATTCACAGTATTCACAATGTTTGGTCACATACTTGTTTCGTCTACTACTAAAACTAGCGATGTTTCATGAGTGCCGCGTGAAACCAGTTTTAAATTGAATTCTGGTATTTTTGCGGGAGAGTTGTTATCCGTATGTAGTGTAATAAACCATACGGAAGTTGGCGTGGCGACTAAATCACCCTGTCGCGCGATCGATCACACATATCCGCTGGAATCGAAAATGTGTCAACAGACCGAAACCGAAAATAATTGACAATTTTTTTAACGATCTTGTTTCCTTGTGTTTTCTGTGTTCATCATGGTACCTCCTCAATGGTTTTATGTTGGCGACATAGGCAAAAAATATATAAAATTTAATTTCAGGACAATTTTGAAAACTGTTCTGCATGACATTTTGGTTTACCTGATAATAAAAAATTGTACTAGATTGTTCAGGGTTACTCTGTTGGCGTGATGTCCGCAGCAAAGCATGTTGGATGAAATTTCTGATTTAGGTAGTGCAATCAACAACTTCAGATTATTGGCTATAAGTCTAGTTGTTGTGTGCGCCCAGACCGTCTCTTTAACAACAACAATTCGTTGATACCAGCTGTAACTGGGTCATGATTTTGGAAATGTTGATGAATATGTTGAGTATTTGTTCACAATAGTATCACACAGTCGACATTTCTCTCTCCCTGGGTCGACATACTCATAGAGCTCTTCTGAATTCCTGCAAAACTGTGTTTTTTTTAAAATTCAAACGCAAATTTAAAAATGTTGTGATATGATACCCAAATGATATAGGACAGACAATTTTAGACGCATAAAACAGCTTGCGAAATTGGTCGTAATTTGTGTCCGCCATTTTGAAACCTGGAAGCGAGCGCTACACGAGGTTTGTATCGCATCATACATGGTATTCCGATCGACAGATTCGTTCACCCACATCACCGGGTCCATCTAAGTACAATGTAATATTTTAACGTTCTTTAATCAAACGATTTGAGTTCGTGAATTTGGTGAAATCGTTATTTTCTCTTCAGCTAATGAACCTACTTGTTCGTCACAGATTGGCGAACCTGACTTAGTCTGTGGTTTACATATCGATGGCCGTTACAGGCAGTGAAACGTTATAGTCTAAAGTGTTGTGGATTTATAATATATACCAGGATAAATAGGCGTACTTTGGACAGCTCTAAGACAAGAACTAAATTAAATATTTGAGATTACTATATATCCGCATTAATTTTGTGGTAAAACAAGGCACACCATCACTTACCAACATGAGTCACATTTTTCACGCATATTCACCAATGTTGTTTGGAACCATCTAATTAACAAACCAGTACTTCACACATAGCGTGACTAAAAAGCAGTCGTCTAGTAATAAAAAGGAGATGTTGCCGTTATTTCTTCTTGGGTGTATGCCATTTTGCTGTCCCACGTGGTGAAGTGAAAATTTTCCATGACGTCAAACGGGAGGCACCACGTGAAATGTAAAATGAGACGAGAGAGGGGGTGACTATCTGAAATAGAAATATTTAAATAATCTGAGCAATTTCACAATTTGTGTGATTTCGATAATGGTACGACAAACCTTTTTGACATTATTACAATGCTAACCTTCCCAGACGTCGGATATGTAAATCGAGTAATCATGATAAATGTCACGTGTTTGGCGGATCTTACGCCAATAACTTCCATTTACCGTTGTTATAGATACCCATGATTTCCTATCGGAAAGTGATATTTAAAACTCGGAAGGACAATCAAATTCAATGACTTGTGAATAATCCTATAACCTATTAAAAATAAATTGCACTCAAGGCGGGAAAAATCTAGCAGCTCCTTAAATTTGACTCCTATTCCAGGCACACCATAAATAGTATTCATGACACATAACAGTCATCGGTAATCGGCATATTCCAACTAAAATGGTTTTAAATAGAAAAGGGGAACTCAGCGCATATAAATTTTCTGTTTCAGATAGTTCTCTGCTATATGGCAAAGTTCAGGACAAACCGTCGTGCCAACTAAACTTTGAAAACATTATTCCTCAGGGCATATATTTATACAATCATCTGACCGATATATGGTTCACTAAGAACACGTATGATAACCAATACAATTCAATAGTTTCGGGGATCAAGTGGTGTTTTATACTATATCAACGCCTGCCAGGTAGCCTCGAACCTTCGAAATGGGTCGTTCAACTCAACATTCGAACCAACATCTTCCGGTCTAGAATACAATAAAATAAAATAAATATATTACTAAGTGTGATACTTCCGTTGAAATAATTTGGGAGTTATAGGACGTTCTCTTGTCAACATTGTTAAATCTGTCCCTTTCAATTCGTATTGTAATTTGGTCAACGAAGTTTTAAATTATGTCTATGGATTTTTCGAATGAGAAATCTGTTTTTGTCTATTTTTGTGATTTGCTCCCTTGTCAAGTTGTCACTATTTAACGCTTCTGTAATATTTCATTGGAACTTAATTTTTAAATTTTCGAATATTGTTTTAACTAGACAATTTCTGCCTTCAGATTTTGCCTCTTTCCAAACATGTTTCATATTTCTTATATTTAGAACATTTTTATTGCTGGGTACACAGTTTTGTATTCCAGCATTTTCTAGTTGAATACCCAGTATATAAGCTTCATGATCAGTGGGTTTTCAGGCACTGTATTTATTCTCAGTTAATATTCAAGTTTAATTATTTGTTTGTTGCTTGACAACATAAGTGGAAACTATGTATTTGCGGAAATAAATAAAACCTTCATACAAGAGAATGGGCACAGTTCTTTCATTTTGATATTTAAATTATTCACTCTCTCTAAAATCGCATTGCCACTGTATGCAGAACATTTTCCACCTCTGACTATGTGATCACAATGATAAATCAATTATTTTGGTAACAAATTCTGAAATATTGGAACACTAAAATTGACCTGTACTTTTAGCTAGCATGTTACTTTAGCTATAATTTTATAATTCAAGATGCAGCTAATTTAACAGAAAGTATATTCTCACAATGATATTGTCAACACGTTAGCTAAATTAAGATTCAGTTAATCCATGCCAAGAGTCAAATCCGCTAATTTAAAATTCCATTCTGTTATTTCAACGTGTTCTACAAGACGTCTGAACTGCTCTTATCATGTTGTTTGCGGAGGTCAGTGAAAGATATTCTACAGTTTGGACAGACTGGGAATACAACTTTAATGTGTTTTTTATGATAAACTTCAGTATTCCTAAAACTATTGTACGACAATATATAGCCCAGTGATCCTCTTATTATTTCGCGTGTACTACATCAAAACACATTCAATACACATCGTTTCAATACTTGGAATACCAGACAACATACACGAATCCACTATCTGTATATGTTTTCAGAAAGAAAAGAAAAACACAAATCCTTTTTTTATTATTAATAGTTTACAGATTATAATCATATGGTCAATTACATTACACATCTCAATCTTTAAAAAGAGGTTGGTGACTCGAAATATTGGATTATTGTTACAAGTTAAAATAAGATAAGGTAAAAAGTCAGATCTCTCCAAATACAGACATGATAAGTTATAATAATAATACGGCTCGGCTAGGGTTAGGGCTATTGACTAACAATCATTTGCTTAACTGTATTGGGACACGTGTTTAAAACCCCATATTATTTATTGATATTTTTTTTTATTTGATATAATGGATATGGATATAGGGCCAGTTTTGTAGGAGAAAGTTTTGATATTATGACTGTGATAATGTTGAAATTACAACTCCGGGATTACAACTAATTGAACAAAATGCTAAATTGTTTTGTGGTTTGTTCTTGAGGTCTAATTTTTTTTGTCTCACTGATTCAACCAAGTGGGTTGTTTGTCAATCATGTTTTGTACATGAGAATCAATATTTATTGATTTATTAAAAGGTGGTGGTCGTCGCGCGCTGTATAACAGTCGTTGTGTGTTTAACATATAGTTACCGAAGTAATTTGCTACTTTTGACTATGGTTCCAGTAACCGTGTTTTGATTGACCCTTGAACTCTTGAACTTTCTGAGACTGTGATACATATAAAGTTCGAACCGTACATAAACCGTTTCCAGAAAGCAAACCATGGTTAAATAATTCATCAGATGTGACCCTTGAATGTGTACATTCTATTGTGAAGCTAATTTCCCCTAATACTAAATACTAGTACTCTGATTCACTTTTCAGCGCTATATCGAGAGCGCCCTCAGTCGACTGGAATTATGATGCGGAAGAGTTCATCGCAAAATGGCCACGGTTACTACGATAAACGGTCTGCTAGGAAAGTTAACATCGTCACCTGGTGAGAGGGTAGCAACACTAGAAGAACTGCGGACAGCGTTAGGTCTTCTTCACCCGAGGGACTTAGACGACGTTGTGCCAAACCTATCATTACAAATCTTGTTTCAGTGTATGCAGGAGAAAAACAGGTATGCCATGACTCTGCAAAAGTGGTGTTATTATACTCTGGATTCCTCGGTGGAGACTGTAATAGTTCCTATTCGTAGGCTATTTCCCCCTGGTCATGTTGCACACGGTGGCAGTATTATCTTGGTCCTATGTCATTCCGATTGTTATAAATTATAGAAATATACATCTAATTTTACGCTCACATATAAATAAAAAAAGAATTCAAAAAAACACAAGCTAGGTGTTTTTACTATATGTGCTTGATGTGACTTAAATTACCATTTACTATTTCAATTCGGTGAAATACACTAGAATATTTTGCAGTTTCGTATTTACATGTATTGTATATTCCAATCATATTTATTAATGAATACAAACCTGGAAAACATAATTGTAATCTGAGGGGGTGCACTTAAAAACTAGCCAGGATCTATTGCACCCTAGCCCTGAGTACAGTCCTGTAGGTTGGCCTCCTTCCGCTGATCATTCGGCCCCAACAGTCCTGAAAAGTCGCATAGTCTGAGGATTCGACACCCGCCTACAAATTTATTGCGGAGAACCCTTCTGCAGTTTTCATGATTGTAACCAGCTAAAACATCAATCGACCAATCTAGCGATCACAAATACCTTTTTTTGTGGTCGAAAAACGAACCTACAGTACTAGACGTTGGCGAAAGCTAGTTTTACGCAACGAAACAAAGTTTTGTTAATAAATACGTCAAAAACAAGATGGCGGCGTATATTTTCGGTTGACGTTGGAAAATGTCGATTTGATCGACCCTAGTGGGAAATCTTATGTAATTTCGGTATTTAGAATAGTTAGACGTATCAACCTGCTTATTTTTTATACAAAGCTGAATGCCTCTAAATTTGAATCGAATCCTCGGTTTATGCCGAATGATCAGCGAAAGGAGGCCAACCTACAGGACTGTACTCAGGGCTTATTGCACCCCAGTTAGCATATATAAGTTTTGTGCAACTCGACAAACATTCAAGTACAGCTGAGCAGAGGTCACAAAATGGAATGAGTACAATCAGAGGTACATGACTTGGGCTTTGCAACATGCGTAGTACTGTATGGTAACATCATGCCAAGATCCCATTCAAGTCTCATCTCGTAGATAGCGAGACTGATGCTACGACCTTCTGACATGACATAGACGGTTTGTAATAAAACAACAGAACATGTATTGCCACATTCATAATGAAAAAATGTAATACAATGAAAATGTACAGAAAATATAGTTATCCTAATCTGTCATATCGTGATCAACTATTTTGATCCACCTGGACATCCCAGTATCCTAGTTACCTCGGGCATGCGCATTCGCATTTTTCTGAGTCGGAACGCTTATGCGAGAGCGAGATTGAAACAGGATCTTGGTATCATGTCACCGTAGTTGCAAACCCCAAGTAATGTACCTTTGGTACAATCCATAGTCGTATCAAACTGACAAATTAAATCATTATTATCAGACACAGTTGTTTTTGCATTTGGAATGATATTATTATGTTAGGTAAGACATAAATAATGCCGGTACTTTCGAACATGTCCATACGGCTTACAGATTGCACTGAATTCTATCAATTTTAGGGATGAAGCTGAATTGAGTAAAGAAATTCTGAAGAGATTGTTCGCAGCCTCCGATCCGTGCTCTGTGATAACGCAGTATAAAGATGAAATATACAGCGGTATAAAGAGTGAATCTGTTCAAATGAAAGAACTCTGCCTCTTGCAGGTAATCTAACTTTATTTTTACAGTCTCTGCGTGTCACATGTCACACATAATGCGAGTTGTATTAAAGCGGGAGGGTCGTCACCTGCCCACGCACGGGAATTGAGTTCCCAAGCGACGATAACAACACGCACTAAAAATGCAAAGGCTCATGGGTAGACGCATGTTGGTAAACAATGACACGCTATGACCATCTGATGCATGCGCAGGTGACGACTCCCCTGTTTTAAGCAAAGGATTGTTAGTCAATAGCCCTAGCCTTAGCTGAGCCGTATTATTATTATAACTCATCGTGTACAGTATTTATGAAGTCACATATTTGGAGAATTCTGACCTTTTATCTTATCTTGTTTGTAAACAGTGACACGCTATGGTCATCTGACGCATGCGCAGGTGACGAATCCCCTGCTTTATATTATGGCGTCAGCAAGCGATGTCATATGCATGTTCGAATTTCATGTAAACAATGTATTTTACACGTGTTGTGTACATTGTTATGAGTCTCATATCGAACAAGACACTGTGCGATAACCACCACAATTTGGTGACATTTCAATCAATTCCATTGAAAATTGTCATTGTTTACAAACAATGAGCCATGAGCCTTTGCGTTTTTAGTTTGTGTTATTATTGTCGCTTGGGACTCAATTTCCGCGCGTGCGCAGATGACGACTACCCCCGCTTTAATTTTCATGTATACAATGTGTTTCTGCAATTATGAACCTAATTTGTATTTAACAACTTGCCGAATATTTTACTGTGTGGTCTCAACGACTTATTTTGTCTCACTGTGCTTCACAACTTCACAATTATTTATGAATATGCTGACGTGATACCATTGTGATTGTCATTTAATAACCTCTGATGGTTTCATAGCCAAGTGATTATCTTTATAATTGCTCATATTGACCTCAGGTCTACCGATGTGCGTCAACTGAGAAGGGTAGACAAGAGCTGTTGCAGTCATCATTAGACATACTGTACTTGTGTGTGCAGTGTCTAGCAGACAAAGAAATCAGTGTGGGTAAAGAAGCTGGCAGAGTACTGAAGTGTCTCGGAGAATCACAAGCCGGATTAGAATTCCTCTTTCAAGGAAATCTACTCGACAAAATGAAGTCATTGATGAAAATTGATGATGTCATCAGATACAGAGTATACGAGGTATTGTGGCATTTCAGTACATCACTTTGATTTGATACATTCTAAAATTATTCAGGCAGAATTCCAATTTTGCACTACTGAGCATCTTACTGCTCATATATGCAATGCATTGTGGGAGATAACTTCAAATTTTGCACTACTGAGCATGTTACTGCTCACATATGCAATGCATTGTGGGAGATAACTTTCCAGCGTCTCTAGTTTTCTCTCATGCGATGATTTTTTTCAAAAAAATGTAAGGAAATGCAAATGACAGTTTATAAATTTGGAATGAAAGTTTAATATAACAATCTTCATATTAAACATTTTTTACTACATGTATTAAGTCATTTCACAATAGACAGTACATTTGAATACTCAGTATACATTTGATGATACTATTTCTACTATAAGGAGAACAACAATTGTCATGGTTCTGTTCAGCACTCCTTATGGATGTAATTGTCTCATTCATTCGAATGATTAAACAATAGGTTTTTTTCCATTCGCTGTGAGGTCCCACTTAAAGCCTATACAGCTTTCATTGACAGTCTGTCACGAAAATTAAATGATTTGAATTTGAATTTGAAATTTTTTTTCAGCACAATGTCAAACGTCAATCTTTCAGATAGAAGTATTGCATTGAAATACATTTACTCTATACAAATTTATCACCATCCAGCATGTATAGCCATTATTAAATGTGAAAATACCTGATTATTGCATAATGTTTTGATGTTATGACTTTTGTTTGTCTTGATTTCATGTTCAATTTGATGCATAATTATTTCTATAGGTGGCAGTAGATATATTTCTGACTTCTCCGCAAGCCATCGTGTACGGTAGCAACTCTGGAATTATCACTCAGTTGATATCAGAACTAGAAAGAGATGATATACTTATACAAATGAACTGTATTGAAATGTTGTCTACCATTGCCAGCTGCCAACATGGCCTCCAGTATCTGGACCAACAAGGCATTGTGGGTAAAGTGGAATCCATCATGGTGGCTGCAGAGAGTGATCCATTGGTTGGATTCCTTATGCCAGGTATGAACCATACTTGTCTTCAGAGATGCGCCTGACTCTCATTCCACTGGTTAGTCAACAATGTAGTCTGGACTTTCAGCTAATCAACTATTTGAATTTATTTTAATGTCTATGTATATTTGTTGCTATGGCAACTATCAGGTAATATGTTGCTATCCTATTACTGTTATGCTATAACTGTCATCCAATCTTACAGTATTCAGATTAGCAGCGTTCTATTTTTATCAACCAATCAACATCCCCCAATGACTGGCAGAGAATGAGTTACAAGTAGGACGATAGTTGGGAAACATCCAATGTAATTTTTTATTATTTTATCTAAATCTTTGCAATCTTGTCAAATTAGAATTACGCTCACAAATTTTGAAACCACAGTTGCTGCAAAATTACATGACTCCCCCAGGGGAAATTTGTGTCCATGTCTTTCATGTAAGTATTTTATACGTAGCATTAGTTCATCCTTTTTCAATAAAAATGTCTTTAACGGTAATATCACCATGTCATGTCTATGACAAAACTTTAAATCTATATTACAGACATTCCATGTGCAAACCCAATCTGTAATTTTGATCAAATAAAAACATGGTCCATTTTTTTGGATCATGTATAACAATGACTAATATTTTCAGAAGTATCAGTAAATTTCTCAAACTTTGATGAAACAATCTTGATCAAGGCCATTCACAGTGACAGTACGCAGGTTAGCTTGTTAGCCTCGTATCAGGCACTTGTCGATTGGTTTCCCAAAGCTTATTGTTTACTCATCAGTGTCAAAATGCAGCCTGCTCTGGGAAACAGCAGGAGAGTCCGAAGTGATTTCAATATTCAGAAATGTTTCCTGGCACAAACAATTATGAAATAAAAGTGATTTTTTTATTCGCTCAGTCGGTTGATTTTTCATTCCAGGATTGATAAAATTCTTCGGCAGTATAGCGAGATACGAACCAAGTGAAGTGTTTGAGAAACATCCATTGTTTGTTCGTACCGTCTTTACTCTGCTAACAAGCTCTGATCTCACGCAGAAGGGTGTTGCCATAGATACTGTGGGAATTGTGGGAAGTACAGTTGCAGGGAAACTTGTACTCCATAAACAAGGTGAGAACAAAGACTACAAGAATTTTAATTATAATACAGTGTATTGCCTTATTAAAATGCAACATACTGTATTATAATGTGACTCATCAACATTCAATGTTTCCCCACATTTATATAAATACTGTAAAATCTGTATTAGAAACAGCGGCTTGTATTAAAATGGTACAATGCAACAGAGGGGATGCGGCTTCTATTAGTGCATCTACACATACAAGAAATGGCGAATGTTTGGGTCTCAATTCTTCGAAAAGAATGGGTGCGACTTATACTAGAGATGCAGCTTCTAATACAGATTTTACGGTAGTTTAAACAACAAATCTACCATTATTTGTTCAAGTTTTAGAAATCCTTGAATTTTCATCTGGAAATTCACCTATGTGTGTATGGACACATGTTTGCTCAAGCATCCATGATGTTCTAACCACATTGTTTATTTCTTGACCTACCACTGCACATATATTCAGTTTTTCCACAGTCAATGGTATTATAAATAAAACAAAGGACTCTATAGTGTACATTATTGTTATAAATCACAACTATCTCAATTGAAGTATTTATTGTACCATGGCTTTATTATCACACGATGAGGTGATAATATTCACAAATAAATTTATTTCAACAAAAAGATTTAATTTAAGTGAATTTGTTTAATTCTATGGTGGTGATTTACAATGACAATACAGTGGCGGATACAATATGTTTTTGTATAATATAAAAAAATCATTAACTTAGTCTGGCGATTTTAAAGTTTGGACCTCCCCCCCATTAAAAAAAATCCCTGTATCCGCCCCTGCAATAGTGCATACCCCCAGTGTCATATTGAATTTGGAGCTGGCACAGAGAAAGTTTCATTATTGTTTAAATAACATGGTTCGGACAGAAATGTTCACTTAAAGTGGGGGAGTCGTCACCTGCGCATGCGTCAGATGGCCATAGCGTGTCATTGTTTACAAACAAGCGTTTACCCATGAGCCTTTGCGTTTTTAGCATTGTTGTTATCGTCGCTTGGGACTCAATTCCCGCGCATGCGTAGGTGACAACCCTCCCACTTTAAATATTTTGGTGCATGTCTTGAACAATTAAACAGTAATTAATCCTCCACAGTGCATTGGATGAGGGGAAGGCTTTATGGCAAGATTATGTGTGAGGCAGAGTTGAACACATTCTTGTACCAAGACGTGCCCTTCTTCATATCAAATATGACTCTGTGGGGTGGGGAATTCATAGTTCATCAGAATAGTCAGAATTCTTTTGATGAATTTTTTATACAACTAGAAGCAAAATTCAGGTGCATTTTAATAGCTATTGCTTTGTATTAAATTCAAATTTTATTTACCACATTCTGCCATCATCTGCTCACTTATTTATGTTAATTCCACAATATGCGTTTCCAATATATAACACTAGAGGACGCTGTGCTTACTTGTTGCAGGTAAAAACATGATAGATTGTATGAGAGTTATGGGCTCACTTGTACAGCAGCCTCCAACTGAGATGAGAATCCGAACACTGGAATCTATTGCTGCTTTGCTACATGTCAAGGTATGTTTAATGAATACAACGGCCATTTAAATCTTTCAATGCCAAAGTCATCTTTCAATATCAGGACTTTTAGGTAGATAGGTAGGTATTGAAAAATCATGTGGATTTGGTACAAAATAACCAAGACATTACAGAAAAATGGGGGAAAAAAGCATCAGCATTTTGGAGAAAAAAATGTTGGCATTCATTATGTTATACTGTAAAATATTTTAGCGTTAATTAATTTTCAATTAATTTTTTTTTCTAGAGTTTATTTTCACTGCTTTTCAAAGGGTTGAATTTAAGGTATATACACTGAATATTATTTTTACTGAATCATCAGTGAAAATAACAAAAATAAATTCCAAGTATTTCATAGTACCGGTAATAGACAACTGGCTAACTAAACCAAAGGGGAAAATATGTCCACTTTGTTCAAAATTAACAAAGAAAGTATAGAAAAATGCTTTAAAATGTAAAAAATCTTTCACCACAAAATTGATTGTGTTCAAACATTATTTTAAAAATACTATGCAATTTTCTTTAATTTCAGTATTCCAATTTTGTTTGTCCTTGTTCGGATGCAGTCTGAAAACGGGGACTTATGTTTTGACCTCCGTGTGTGTGCGTGCATCCAGCCTGTATTTTAGAAATGCCTGGACCAATCACAATCAAACTTCACGCATACATCATACATGATGTTATACATATGCTAATCAATTTGTTTCACGATCTGATTCAAGATGGCCGAATGGTGGCCATTTTTGTGCTAAAAAATCATCAAAATCAAGCATTTATGGATGGATTTTGTTTAAACTTGGTGCATACACTAGGACCTTGATGCACGTCATTTTATTTTTCAGATCCGATTTTAAATGGACGACTGGCGGCCATTTTGTTTTAATGAATGCAGTTCTAGTGCCATATCTCTGCCATTCTTTGACTGATTATGTTCAAATTTTATATATTCATTATAGATCATGTCATAGATATACAAGTATATTTGTTAGACTACCTGATTCAAAATGGCCGAATGGTGACCGTTTTGTGCTGAAAAATCATCTAAATCAAGCATTTATTGATGGATCTTGTTCAAACTTGGTGCATACATTGGACATTATGGGACCTTGATGCACATCATTTTGTTTTTCAGATTGGATTTAAAATGGCCGACTGGCAGCCATTTTGTTTTAATGAATGCAGTTATAGTGTCATACTAGTATCTCTGCCATGCTTTGACTGATTATGTACGAATTTATTATATTCATCATAGATCATGTCATAGATATACAGATTTATTGGTTTGACGATCCGATTCAAAATGGCCAATGAGTGTGGTTCTGGAGCCGTATCTCTGACATGATTTGACTGATTATGTTAAATTTTCATATATTCATTCTACATCATGTTGTAGATATACAGATATATTCAAAATGAACGACTGGTGGCTATTTTGTTTTAATTAATGCTGTTCCACAGCAATATCTCTCAATATGGGCAAGTACTCATTTGACATTCAGATATAAGATGACTGAATGTCAATCAGTTCAGTGATAAAAAAAATCACCATAATCAAGCATCAGCTTCTGGATCCATATCTCTGACATGTTTATGTTTGAACTATATTACTATAAACAAAATTATATATCTTAAGTTTGATAACTAACGGTGACTGTGCCATGCATGGCTTGTTTTTTTTATTTTCAAAATAAGGGGATGTAATTAACCAAAATATTAACATGACAAAATGAAATGTTTTATTTCCACATGAAATGGCAGGAATGAATATGTGTATTACACATAGCACTATCCAATGTGTTGAAAAGTCACACTTGAATTTACACAGTTTACACTAAAATCATAATGTGATGCTAATTAAATTGAACAATACTGTCAAAAGCCACACTGAAATGTTTTTGCGATCCCTTTCTAGCCTGATGATGTCAAGTCAGCTAACGATATGTCTTTGGTAAAACTATGATTGTTTTATGTTTTGTATCATTTCTCAGAAGGCAGAACAGACAGAAGACATCCTCTCTCTGACCGAAAGATGGTTTCTTGAAATATCCTCAAAACCTATGGACACAATGTTTGGACTTTGTAATCAACCGTTTGGAGAAATTCGTGGCGGCGCTTTTCTTGTTTTACAAAGTATAGGAAACCAACCATGGGGTCAGCGGCAGATGAACGATTACCCAGGATTTACTGAGTACATTCTGGATCGTTCCACGGAAAGTGAAAAACTTGGCAAAGAATTGAAATTTGACATTGTAAAAGTATTAGTTGAATCTCCTACGACGGCGGACATATTTGGACGGCCATATTTGCTGCGACTGAAGGAGTATTTACGAGAAGGGCCGTTTTATGTTAAGGTCCAATCAGAGGTAGCTATGGAAGGTGACGGCTGAATCAAATTGACGATAATCAAGAATTTAATAAATACATATAAAATCATGTTGGGACCATGTTGTTCTAGTCTGAGATAGCAGTGATAATGAGTTGATAATGACATACCGGTACATTTGAAGAAACTATTTTAGGGTTAGTCAAAGGTAATACTGGTACATCAAGATCTCAGTTTTCTGAATAAATACAAAAAGTATGATGTCTGGACTATGGTATGGTTAGAGATACTAATTGAATGAATGTGCTTGACCAGATAGGTGCCAATTTCTGAACATCGATCATGGTTTATATTCTGTAAAATACATTTTTTAATACATAGTTGGTCACACAAATCTCAAAACTAATGACTGTTCATTAAACGCCTTTACTTTCATTAATATGTAATCAACTACCAAATAAACACGTAACCAGTCACACACATTTCTAAAAAACATTCAATCAAACACAAGTGAATCATGAGAAAGCAGTAGGTGAATTTTTCATTATATTTTAATTGTTATATAATACTGCACACTGTGTAGACAAACAAGTCTACTTGGCTTCCCTGCACCATTTTAATTAAAAGCACCAAAGCAAAATGTTCAATTTTCTGTGATTTGTCTAGATGTAGTCGATTCCGGTTTATCTGGACATGGCACAGTTTTCTTCTAAGGTGGACAACTGAAAATAAAGAAATTTGATATGCATTATACTACAACATATAGCATGATGAACAGTAAATAAATACACTTTGAACTAAATTCCTGACCATATGGGGCCATATACAGCTAGAAAATTCTGTCAGTTGGAAATGAAAAATAGTTGCGATTATATATTGAAATGCACAAAGAATCACTAGAAGAATTAATATTTTAAAATGCACATTAATAAGTTTACTAAAAAATTACGAATTCATTCATACATTGGGGTCGAAATACTCTGGTGCACACTGCACTATGCACATAGATTATTAGCTAGTGCAAGTAAACTCAAAATATAATGTGCACGCTATGCATGTAGAAATTAACACAACATTTTCTCATTATATTCACTAAGCCTCAATTAAGTTCAACCAACATTGTAAAACAACTCAAAAAAAAGCAAATTATTTTGTAATCACATCAATTGATAACCTGTAAATTTTATTTAAACTTTAAAAGTGGTGCATTTTACAACAAGTTAGTGCAGGTAAATTTCAAATTCAACATGCACACTGTTCATGCAGGGAAAAAAATCTATTTCAATCCCTGTATACATAGGGCATACATTCTTTTTGAATGTCGCATGATTTAATGTTCAATAATAAGTTAAGTAAATACCGTACTTCCCCAAGCATAAGCCCCTCCCAGAGTATAAGCCCCCCCTCTTCCAATGAATGTTTTACTCATCTTATTTATTTAACCTACATTTAAGCACAATTAATTTAGTTTTGTGTTTCCTAATGGTAATATCTTAAGATCATATATTTAAAAGAGGAGATTTTGAAGTGGTGATACAAATGGTACTAGCCCAATGCTTCAGGGAAGTGTTGGTTAGATCTGTATTTAACCAGTGTTCCAGGAAAGTGAAGTGGGGATTAGATCAATACTCGTCCAGTTCTCTGGAGATGGAAAGTAGTATGTGATAAGATTGGTACTAACCTAGTGCCCAAGGGAAGGGAAGTGGTAATTAGATGTTACTCATCCAGTACCTTGGAGGGGGGAGTAGTGATTGGATCAGTACTTGCTCAGTGATCTGGGGACAGAAATAGATTGATTGATTAGACTAATACTCACCCAGTGCCCCAGCTACTGTGGAATACGCTATCACTGGGTGCAGTCGCACCATTTGGCATTATCAATTCATTTTCTGAGTCTCCGTCAGCATTGCCACACAGGCCTTCCACAGGGAAATCTCCATCGAAGAGCTGTGTGAGTTTAAGTTCTACCCTTCTGAAACCCCAGGTAATGAGAAGATCATTATAACCATCCAAATCAGTGTCAATATAGATATTGTAATCGTCACCTATCTTGCCTATATTGAACTGACCATAAACTGAAGGGAAATCAGCAACATTTATGGTGTAACCTGGCAACTTTGTGGAAACGAAAAATAAAATAAGAGAGATAACAAATTAGATATAAGAACAAAATGCAGGTCAACAATCTATGGATTGATGGGTGTATGTATGTATGTATGAATGCTTGGATGGATTGATGAATTGACTGACATGCAGGCAGAAAGAATGAATGAAAGACGGTTGAACTTTGTTCCAGCGTCGTTGACTGTATCATCATGAGAACAAATATCCACAACGAATTCAGTACAAAATGTCTAACAAATGTAAAACATGTTCACGGTGGAGGGAAGGATTAATGTTCTGTTGGTCGGTTAGATGGATGGCTAGTGCATGGATAGAATTGGCCGATAAAGATAAAGAAACAAATGCGCAGACAGACAGACAGACATAGCTAAGCATTCCTTACTGTGAACACTACATCTGTTCCATCATGGTTGTTTGTACCAACATTCAATGTCTGGCCTGCTTGGGTGATTTTCATTGTCTCCACACGGTAATGACCCTGGTGTTCAGACTCGGTTACTTGAACAAGTATATCATGATTTCCACCATCCATCTTCAACAATGTATAGAAATCACAGTCTCCTCCTTCATGGTACTTGTAACCATCAAAGGTGCTGAAGCGTGGATCACCCCAAACTTTGCAAAGCATAGGATCTAGTGGAGAAATATAAAGTACATATTGCATACTTGTCAATTTAATGCAATTGATCGGCTGAATTAAAATTGCAAATACATTGACTTAACATAGATTTTTTTCTCTGTTTAACCATAGATAGTTTAGTTTTCCTACTACTATCCTACTGGTTTAACAACATACCTAAAATACATTATGTTTACGGAATTGGCTTTTCAAATTAATCGTAGCTTGAATACGAATTTGATATTGATTGTGTGTTTTTTTATCAGAATGCAGATCTTATCTAAGGTAATACATTTGCTTGTATTCCGAAGTGTTACGATAATAAGACATGCCACATTCCATTTTTAACTGAGTTAATATATGGTCATTTTCAATTGCAAAACAGCGTCGTACAACGCAGAAGCAACATCGTTCTGCCACATATAATTTTATAATCATAATTACATACATAATTTACATGAATAGCAACGTCCTTAAAAAAAATGAAAGCTAATGTGCATTACCTGATGGTAGTGGGCAATAGTATCCTTGTGTAATGTTGGCTGCATTGCAGCAATATCTACATTTTGTTGATACAATTATTGGTGGACTGTCGCAATTGTTGTGCCAGGGTTCATTTGAACTTTCTTCAATACATGCCTAGACAATACAATACAATACACAAAGACGTTATTATTGTGAATAACTTTAGCGCAAATTACCAACTTTTATCGTATGAATAAGGTTTCGCCTAGGTTATTGTTCAACTTGCCTCGATCTGTTGACACTCTGAAGCAAATACCATTTTTTTATTCCAGTTCCACAGTTGAGTCATACACTCTGGCTGCAACAAACACATATATAAATTAAGTTGAATACTAGTAGTTAAAGTGGGAGGGTCCTCGCCTGCGCACGTGCGGGAATTGAGTCCTAAGCGATGATAACAACACACGCTAAAAACGCAAAGGCTCATGGGTAGACGCTTGTTTGTAAACAATGACACGCTATGGCCATCTGACGCATGCGCAGGTGACGACACCCCCGCTTTAATTGTCATATATTCGTACATGCCCTCTAGCTAGTGGAAGAAGGGAGGTAAAATAAATTCGGTTGACATTTCCAAATCTGACATATGTATCACACAAATAAATCGACAAAGTATTCCTCTTTTTTCCCCATCTCATTCCATACACTAGCGTCACTGCTTTGGTGTGTCGTCTCTTGGTTATTATTGCGCATACACACAATAATTATTGCCATAGCAACGAAATCTGGTTATTGGAATAGGTAACCGACCCGTACTACAGTTACTGTAACAGTATTTCGTATGTTACTTACCCTTGAAGATTTGCAGTCTTCATATTTTTTGTTATCAGAATCTGGTTTCATCAAACATTCCGCTAGGCTCAGTTTTTCGGAAAGTTTGCATTTTAAGCATTGGTTCGCTGCAAAACAAAATATCATAAATGAGCCATGAGAAATAAACCTTGGTAATAAATTGTAATTAGCTCAATTAACAATTAAATGTATTTAGTTATATTTCTAATTAATAGAATTGTCAATTACCATGACGCATATACTATTGTTGCGATTACGTTTTAAACGCATGTAATCGACATTAATTATAAATCGTGTTTCAACGCAATACATCACTGAATGTAATATTACAGTTGCATCTCCCGTTTAAATACGATGTTATTTCCAATGTTTATAGAAACCATTTTGAACTGATTTGAAAACATTCCTGATAAAACTGTATAATGACTTATCGTTTTGAGATTACCAAGACTGAAACCTAGTTGCGCTATGATTTACGTGCAGCATGTCAGTACTCACCCATTCCCTGACCTGGAAGCATAAGGTCATGTGGATTTCCATCTGCGCGTTTCACTACTCTGGCAGTAGTCTGACACATGATCTAAAATTAACTCAATTATTATAACAAAGTTTAGTCGTAAAACGATATATTATGATCTCAATGTTAGATCATCGTGAAATGTTCAGAAGAGGTTGCTCTTAAATTTACTTGAAGATGTGGGTGCGTTTGGCATAGAAACAATTTTTGGAATTATTTTTCATTTATAACTAAAAAAAGTTTAAAATGAAATCTTTCAGATTCAGAGGTTGCCATTGAAACAATTACACCTTGGCATGGACACGGCAATTACGGGAATTATGAGTTTTCGCTCAGCACGAGGACAAATTCAATAAATTTCGGGAGTGATTTTTCAATCATAAATAAAAAAAGGTTATGAATAATTCTTGTTAAATTTAAGCCTGTACGAAACGGTTTGACATTGATCTAGATCTTGTTGCAAAATGTTTTCAGTAAACATCCAGATAACTAACTAACATGAACCAAGCGATTAGAATTCGAAGTTTAATAGTTGTTCAGCAATAACATGGTAAAGGATTGTTCAATTTGATTCAATTTGGTCTTTCCTTTCAAAAAAAGCTTATTTAAATTTGATAAATGTGATATAGACATAGTAAAGCATAGAGGTAGGTTTATTAGTGAGTATAAGTTATTTTCATCTATATGGCAAAAGTCTGTACTCCACGCCTGCCTCTAGTTATATAGCGTTGTGTAGAACTGTTCACGTAAACATCAACTTGTTTGCGGATCTTAGTTAATATTAAGTCAACTGCAACATATTTAGTTATATTGATTTGTTCGATCAAAGCAATTATTCCCTCGACATTCGCTGTTCAATGTAGTCATGTTAAAACTAATGTACCATGTTGTATAGCTGTACATAATACAAGACAAGAGAGACGACCGTGCACGCCGAACTAAACATTCCCAAAGCTACACTTTTAGAGTAAAATCCTGCAATTGCGAAAGTATCACCTCAACTTGAACATTTGTTTAAGGCTAATATAGCAATTGATTGTTTGAATGGGAAGATTTACAGAAAACATGTTCAAATGGAGGCACACACCCTTACACATATCGCTATGATATAAAACACATAGAAGTACGCCTGAATTGTTGTCCCCGGTGAATGGTGAAACAAGGTAACATTTTCGTTAAACGTTTTGTTATGTTATGTTGTGTTGTGTTTAAGAAAAAATCGCTAGCGAATGTGAGAATCCTGATAAATAAATGAAACTAGTTCTTTTTAGCCAAAAATGTAAATTTTCCTGTTACCAAATTCAGATTCAGATAGGTGCCAGTCTGGCTCCGATGAGCTAACAATCAACGAAATGCAATTTCAATAACCATATTTGAAACTCAATCATTGATACAACAATGTACTGTTTTAATATGGGATTACAACAGTGTGAAGTTGTGGACACGGTTTATACAATTGCTACATAAATATAACAGTTCAGACAACATTGACATTCAATGGCAGGACCCGACGCCTGGCATGGAACGAGATCCCACATATAAATGGTCCGATACTCTCGAAACTCCAAAAATGGTTTCATCAATCGAATATATGTGTACTTTTCGTTGAGCCAGGATTGTGCATGTTTTGTTCAGTTTTCAAAGTTACGTTAATCGACATCATTATGTAGTGAAATGAGCATGTCGCATTCAATAGAATATTTCAACACATTGAAGGGTTTCATCCGATTATTACCACATAAAACGACGCACTGACACCTGGTCGCATTTGACATACAGATTCAAAATGAATGAAGTCCTACAATTGTTCTCAATCGATGTTGTAGTGTATTAAAACAATCTAATTGGTTTCTCTTGGAGAAATAAACAATTTGTATTCGATCAAATTAATAGTATATGAAAGTTCATTTCAATTCTCGCCTTCAGGATGCTTTCATTTTAAATAATCGTCAAAGAAAACTTTTTGTTTCGTCAAGCACTGTTTGTTTCAGTACAAAAACGCTTTAGCATATCTGATGGCAAGCCCTATCAGTAGTAGATGACGTGTTCCTCGCAACAAAATTGAAATGATACAAAGTGAAAAGTGAAAACTCACCGCTAAGAGCACTGCTGCGAATATCTTCGTATCACACTTCATGGTTTGGTTCTTCACTTCACGCTGTCACGATGAAGATAATTTGATGCAAGAGTTGTTGATATGATTTATGCACATTGACGTAATCTGATTGGTGGAAAGCTCTTCATGTTTTTACAACTGGAGGCCAAACGACAATTTTGTTATGTTTGTTACCCGGGTGTCCGTTTTTTTTTTTTTTTTTTTTTGTTTTTTTTTTTTTTGTTCAAATGTAATCAATTTAGCTTTGGTTATATATTGTCAAACAAACTTTTTCATGAGTAAAACTGTAATTATTTTATTTCCATGAGTGACTTTACCGAAATTTGTTGTCGCGCTAAATGTAACACATTCAAGTGTATCATCAAGTGGCCGGGTAAAGCTACCAGGTCGTTGCTTTCATTGCACAACATACGTGCAATTGTGGCGTGTTAAACTTCCGTATGTGAAAGATATCTGCCATTGCAACTCGAGGCTTCAAACATTTTTGTGTACAACACGTTGCGTAATTTTACAGATTTCATTTGTTGAAATCAGTTTAGCTATTCATGTTAAATAACAATAATTATTATTTTTTAAGCCGAAATCATCGGTCAATCACACCAAAGTATAAGATATCTGCCTTGTAATCAATTTGTGATACCGTAACCCTGGCAAATTTATAATTGATCATCACGGTATTGATTCGATTCAACAGAAACCTACTATTAGTATTACTACTTCTACTACAGTAGTTTCTGTAGGCCGACACACAGACTGTCGACAGTCCCTCTGGCCTTAGGTTTTGTTTAACTAAAACGGTTTAATCAAATGTGCAATGCGAATGCGAATTACACTGGGCATATCAATCCCCGTTTAAACAGTAGGGAATGATCATTTATTATTCCTAGGGGGGTCAATTCTCGGTTTTTTTTCAAATAAAAAAAAAGTGTGCAGCCCTTTAGGAAAAATGAGAAATTGTTAATTGATACTGACTTTCCACGTTTATTTTTGTGATATATATTATTTTACATCTGTTAACAAAATACTTTCTATATGTATATTTGTATTTTATCACATTTAAGTATATTCAGTTTATTTATTTTGTGTTCAATAAAAGGCGTAAAGTAAAAAAAAAAGTGTCTCAATCTTTAAGAGACCCCCAGCCTTGATAAAAAGTAACTTACGTCCCATCTCTGTGGTTTTGGAAAATATGCTGCCCCTCTGTCTGCCCCCCCCCCAGAATAATAAATGGTTATTCCCTTAGACCCGAGGAACTGTCGACAGTGTATGTATCAGGTCCGTAGCCACGTAAATGAAAATGTTATAATATGGAATAATGAAATTGGTGGAACGAGAAGGATATTCGGACGCATAATAAATGCAACAATCCTTTTGTGCCAAATTCAAATACATGAAATCGCAAACATTGCAAAAATGTTGAAGAATAACATTAAAAAATATATATATTTTTTGAATGTATCCCCGGTATTTCAATAACAATATTATAACAATATAGTAATAATAATTGTATTGTTTGTTTGTTTTCTCATCTACACGGCATGGCAGATTTAATACTCACGGATGGTGGAACGGATATTAACTCGGTTGGATGATTTGTTTGTCTGTATATTCAATTCCGATCAGTATGTCGCACTTCTTATGATACTGTCCAAAATAAGCCCGGACGCTCTTTTGTTCGAAAAGACCTCTTCGAAATGGTGTGAAAATTTCAGACTGTGACAGTTAATTAAAGGGCGAAAGTTGTCGTGCCGCGTCCTGTTCGACATGGGACTCATAGCGACGAAGACAACGCGTGTAAAATACATTGTTTATTTACATGAAATTCGAACACGCGCTGCGCGACGACCACCGCGCTTTAAGTTTCCAGTCTCATTGACCAGCCGGAAAACATGAACGGAGATAATGCCGTTATATGGAAGTGACACCTATCGACTTGCCGTCCACAAAAATGACTTTCACATCGCAAATAAATGTCAACAATCACCACCCTCCGATACTTGCCGATCTTCAATCGTCACGTAAATAAATAAAAGACAAAATATGTGAAGGAAACAGACGAAAAATAATAATAATCTATTACATAAAGCCAATGAGATACTCATACAGTTATATAAACATCACGATCGCCACGGGTGGTTTGCCTTTAAGACTGAGTCCAAATTTACTTTATCTCAAACCATTAAAGCGCGGCAGTCGTCGCGCTGCGCATGTGCGACATTTGTGTTGATAAACATTGATTTACCCACAATCCAATGCGCTCTTCTAATGGAAATCACAAGTATGAGGTTTTACCTGGGTGCGACACGCACTAATAACTACCTAAAAATACCTAATTAAAGCTTGGTAACGTCTCAGTTTAAACTTGTTGATCTGCGCACCAGTCAAAGTCGCCATATTTGTTTATATGAGACCCATATATCTAACACATGCGTGGCGCGACCCTTTAACGATAAAGAAAAGTACATTGCATGACGCGCTGTTTTTAGCAATTCCCAGCGAAACGAGCCGTGCTAAAGTTCAAAGCTGCGTATATTACATACTGTATTCCAGTTTGAGTCAGACGTCCCGGTATGAAATGGGCTGGAGCGGGACCCTATGAAAGGCAGAGTACCACGTACTACATTTCCATGTGTTGGTCGTAATATACAGTACTGTAGAATACTTTATTTCCGCTTGGAATTTATTTTCGCTGAAGGAATGCTTCAGTGAAATTAGATTCCAGCGAATATATATATTTTCCTATATTTCACATTCATCTCATCAAAAATCAGTGAAAATAAATTCCATACAAAACACGGCACCCAAAAAGTCTTTTTAGTGAAAATTAATTCCAGCTAAAATAGTTTTTACAGTGTTTTGCTGCTCAATCGCGCAAACGCCGGTGACGCAAATTTTTAGAGACACAAAATAAATTCTAATTTCAAAGGAAAATTACTGTAAACTACTATTTTTCAGGTTTGTCTCTCTTTGATTTTCTATCCGATTCCTTCTTCTGATTTTGGTTGCTTTTATTTGTGAAAAATTCTCTCCCCTTGGGCTGAGTTCAGTGTTAATAAATATTAATTGCTGAGGTTTGTTTCCGGTTCCGGTCGTACATAAACGCGGAGAGTTGACATGAATATTAATATTCAAATCCATCACAGGTTGAAATCTCCACTGAGTGATGTAGTACTCGACTGTTTTCGGTGATACGGGAATTAACAAATTTACGATTATCGAATAAAATTACAAATTCGACACCTTTGAGGAATTTAACTTTGTTGAAAAATGCCAAATCCCATGTTAGTCCAACAAAATTGAGGTAAAAATTGTATAACTTTAAGTACACCATGGCTTATTTGATTGACGAGACGCGATTTAACAACACCTTTTTATTTCATCTGCTTCAGAATAAACTAACTGTCCGATTCCCGCGCAACTAAAGTCGAAGCCAAATTGAGCGAACTACAAATACTACAGCAAACCGCGGTTTAATCGGTATGCTGTACAAACATACATGTATTATTGAAACAAGATACCATGCGTAAATAATAAATATTTTCATACTCTATACTATTATTATTATTGTATGAGATTATATTCATATGTGTACCCACGTGTTGCTGGTTGTAGTTATCATAAGCAGTGTAGTCAAAACACAGGAAAGTGCCTTTGACACACAAGTTCAAAAGCATTTGGACCATGCTTATCAAATTCACATATGACGTCACTGCTAGCGTCACGATATCAATTTAATGTAAATGCAACTTGATTAAAATATAATTTTGTATGTCGTGATTTCTTTCGTAAAAACATATTTGAGTCCCATATCGGACAGGACGCGGCACGACGACTGCCGTCCATTAAATATGTACTTGTACACCTTGTATGGAGCTAAGACGGGGACAGGAGTATACCAATTGCACACGTAAATATCCCAAAGTGAGAACGAAACACCTATATAACAATAGACCTTAGAAAAGGTCTATGATATAACTTACTTATGCCATGAAACAAGGACAATTTCTTGTAGTTCACGTCATCCTATGTCTGGGGTTCGCATCATAACGCTAGAATTTACATAGACGGGTTAACAGTGGTCTGTTATCTATCTTGGATGGGGTCCAACGCGTTAAAGAATCTTGGCTTCCCAGTGTATCTTGAAACTTGTCATTGCGAATCATTCAATAAGTTATATGAATGACGTAAATCATGCTCAGGGTGTGTGAATTGTTGAGTAAACTCGACTAACCATTATAAGCTGGAATGCACGTGGGGTTGTCCCGGGGGGGTCACTCAATATTAAAACCTGACACCATGTGCGTTTTTGCTAAAAAAATAATAGGCCCTAGGGCTGGCAGCACATTGACAAACCATACCCCATATTGCGGACGCAATGTAAATTTAGTACCCCCTAGAGCAGACATATTGAAGAAAAAAACATCGCTTATTTCAGACATATATTAAGAACATCCTACCCCCTATTGCGAGGATTCTCTGCCGTTTGTTGCACTCAAATGGAGTGTGATCAACTCAAACAAGTTACTGTGTATGCAACTCTTGTTGGTGTCATTCGTTGTTTGATGGAGAAAGATGAGAACTATTGACATGATTGTGAATATGATCATTTATTTGATAGTTTAATACCCAATGCACACAACTTTGCCAGGATTCTTATTCCATCAGATACCATTACGTGACGTAATTTTATGTTTTGCTCCGAGTGACTTTGGCATGAATACAGGACAGGAAACCGTAAAAAAGCAGGAACTGAATGAGAATAAGGCCGAGGAGCGAAAGGAGTTTCGGAAGTGCGGATGATTCCGGGGATGACTTTCTGTATGCGGTTTATTGTATCGACGAAACGAAACGAAACGGGATAACACACATAATGACATAAACTGTAGTCAGGGAAAATGGGTTTTATACGCACAATATTTACAAAATATTTGCCGAAAATAATAATAATTAATACGCATATGGCTCGTTTCGCTAATTACAGATAATCGAAAATCTGTAATCAGATTCAGGTCTGACACGTAATAATATTTACAACTGTCGG